GCCACTGTCGAAGGAGAAACTCTATCCGGTTTTGAGAAGGAAAACAGTGAAGCCATTAATGAAGCTACTACCACTGATGTGACTGTTACCGATAATGGGGCATTTCCTGATAGAGCAGATGAATCCCACGTGAAGCAGAATCTAATGAGACAGATATGAAAGAAGAAACGTCCTGTAAAATTAAGAGGCTTTGTTGTATTTTAATTTTGTGTTTGTAAATTCTGTACATTTAATTAATTTATTGTTGGTTACTGTTGATGGTTACTTTAGTTTTGACTCTGTTTAGCATCGTGGACTAATTTATAAACTACGACTTCTGCAACTTCTGCTGACGTATGTCCGACTTCTTCACTCATTTCTTAAGGATCGTCCTGTTACAGCCTTTCTGTGTCTTTATATAGCTGCTGGATGTCCCCATGATTCGTTTTTATCACCACTTCTCTGTGTATCAGACATGACATTTCTCCTGTTTCACTCTATAAATATGCTGATAATACTGTTTTCCTGGCAAGACGATGAGCAATCTTAACACGTTTCTGCTGTCAATGATTTTATTCTTTGGCGGCGTCGATGGCACCTATAAATTGATGCTTATAAGACCAGATCTTTTCTGTTTGGCCCTACACGTCATAAATTTCGTCATTGTCGTCACCCGTCTTTATTTAATGTTCCAATCAAAATCTCTGTCACTGTAAAATACCTTGGAGTCACGTTTGACAATGAACTTACCTGGAAAACGCATCTAACATCCATAACTAGTAAAATCACATCTCTGCTGTAGCTCCTTCGATGCCTGTCTAGTACCTCCTGAAGTTTAAACACTCTATTACACCTTTAAACAAATAAGACCTTGTTATGGACATACAGCGTGTATTTCTCCAACATCAACTTTTTATCTTCGTTTAAAGGTTCTAGTTGTCATTTCACATCTACCTTCACAGTTCAACTACAGCCCTTTATGATCGCATTGACTTTTCACAGATTCTTGCTCACCTCTGAGATATTCGACTTCGTTATGTTTAGCAGTGTGTCCGTACTCAAAATGTTTTCTTTGCTTCTGCGCTTGAGCATCCAGTTCACAAGCCTCTCCGATCTATACCTCCACTGGAATATTTGTTGAACCTGTATGTTATGTCTCTTCCTTCTGATGATCCTGAACATGTTGACCTACCAATGTTGAACCTTTCTGATAATATTTACCCTGCAGATTCACAGTGTCGTGGGCAGCACAAACGACAAGGACCTAGTCACAAGCCAGAATAAACAATAACTAAATCAACAAATAAATACAATGACATATAGCACAATAAATTTAAAACCACTGATAAAACGAATCCATAATTCACATTTCCCACCAGGAGTGCCTCCATTCAATAGCATGAATAGTTATTTCATTTCTCCTCATCTCAGCATCTACTTTCACAGTTGTCTCTTACTCACCTATCATTCATTTTTCTAGTTGTAACTTTTGTAGTTACATTTCATGAGTGAAAAGAGCCGCAATCCTCTTGTAGCCCACCATCCTTTGGTCTGAATGAAATGCCACTGTTATTTACTTACTGACAGGAATATCTCTGTATTGAGTTGTAAGGTGAATGAAAGATTGGTTTGGCATTTATTATTTAGTTGTTTAATATTGAGATCGTCTGACTAAATAAATAAATTAGCAGAATAAATTAGTAGTCTCAGAAATGCATATTCTTGAAATTCTCGTATAAACATATAACTACTGTGTTTGCAAAAGAGATTTCAAAACATCATACTTATACTAATGTAATGATTTATAAACTTTAAATCACTTCACTATAATTGCATTTAAGTATTTTTCTTTCCTTATCACATCCCAATGTTATTACATGCAGAATTCACGCAGGCCTAAATATTTGCAAAACTCAGCTTTTACATATATATGAAGAATATATTGCTGATATCAATTGTTAAATAAACTGTATGATGAAAGGGATTTTTTTTCTGTTTTTCATGTATTTCGTTTTCTTACCATTTCATTATCAAGCAGTCAAGAGTCACGTAAGTAACTGTTTTTATTTTCTACTCGTAATTAGAGAAATATGCTCAATTTGAAGTATAACAACTCATCTGCTGTAAATGCTTAATAAAATCACCATTGTTGGAAGAATATGCCGCCATCTTGTTCTAACGAATATTTCTGGCTTGTATTTATTAGGAATGTTTGTGTTTCTTCTGTATTTATATTCCTTATAGATATATTACTAAGTGATCTTCTTCGTCATTCTACAAGTGATTGACTTAAGCCCCATTTAATTTATTATTCAGTCATAATGACGGAAACTTGCTCACAGTTTAATGAAACATTTTATTTGTACGTAATTATAAATGTATCAATTGTCTTAAATATTTCGCAATGATAACAAAAAAATCGTCTGGTGTTTAATCCGTAAGCTGGATGTATTATAAAACTAAATGTACAGCATCAATATTTCTAGTGCGTATTTTAATGCAAACTTAAGCGTAAAATCCCCGATTGTGTTTATTTCTTAGAAAAAACAAAGACTGAAACATTAGGACACTTCAATGAAAAAATATAATATCTTATCCAAAGCTAAAAAACAACAACATTATCCATAATAAAAACAAAGTTAAAGGTGGACTAAATTTGGAAATAAGCCGCAATGACCTTCTAGATTTAGTAGTTTTTTATTTAAATTTCTAATTTTTCAAGCCCTTGTATTGTTTGTTTTTAATTCTAAAGTATTGTTTGTTTGTTTCTGAATTTCGCGCAAAGCTACACGAGGGCTATCTGCGCTAGCCGTCCCTAATTTAGCAGTGTAAGAGTAGAGGGAAAGCAGCTTCCAGTCATCACCACCCACCGCCAACTCTTGGGCTAATCTTTTACCAACGAATAGTGGGATTGACCGTCACATTATAACGCCCCCACGCCTGAAAGGGCGAGCATGTTCGGTGTGATGGGGATTCGAACCCGCGACTCTCAGATTACGAGTCGAGTGCCTTAACCACCTGGCCATGCCGGGCCAATTCTAAAGTAATGTAAAATCAAAGCTAACTGGAATATTCATGACAAATGAAAACGTAAATCTTGAGAGTTTGATGAAACAAGTTCCATTTTGAAGAGCTCTTCTTCATCAAGAACATATTTATAGTCGAATAACATGGAAAATATGTTTGAAAAGTAGCAATGGTACGGCTTTGGTGATTTTAAAACACATAAAAAGGTCGTATTTTAATACAAAATTAAATGTGAAATCTCCGACTGTGTTTATTTCTTAGGAAAACTCAAGAGTGAAACGTTACGAATTATATATTATATCTATATATAATATATAGATATTATATATAAATATATATATTATATCTATATATAATATATATGAAAAAATTCTGTTATCCAGAGTACAAACAAATTTAAAGGTGAACTATGTATGGAAAGAAATCGCAATGGTCTTGTAGATTTAGGAATTCTCATTGAAAATTCTTATTTTTGAAGTCCTTTTGTTGTTTGTCTTATCTTCAGAAATAAAGTAAGGTCGAAGCTAGCCGGAATATTCACGACAAATCAATGGTATAATATTGGGAGTTTTGTTAAAATTAGTTGCCTATTAAAAATCTAGCATCAAGAGCATCTTTCTAGCTAATAACACGAAAAAAATAATTTTTGAAACACACACAAAAAAGTGTATATTTTAATACAAAATTGAGTGTGAAACCTCCGATTGTGTTTATTTCTTAGAAAGACTAAAGATTGAAACATTAGGACACTTCAATGAAATATATAATATTTCAAAGCTAAAAACAAATTCCTACTCAGACTGAAAATAAACTTAAAATTGGATCAAACTTGAGTGCCAGCCGTAATGAACTTGTAGATTTAGGAATTTTGATTAATAATTCATTTTTTTTCTGGAGCTCTTTTATTGTTTGTCTTCTCTTCGAAAGTAAAGTAAAACCATAGATAGCCTGAATATCCCAGATAAATTAAGTCTTAAATTTTGGGAGTTTTTAAGAGAAAAGTTATGTTTTGTAAAGCATACATTGAGTACATCTTCGTAGAAGAATTGTTCGTCCAAGTAAATGTGTATTTTAATACCAAAATAATATATAATCTCTGATGGTGTACAAGTACGTCAAAAATGACAAAGATTAAAGATTTGAAGTCTAATTAATACATTATGTCTTTTCCAAAAAAGGCAGTAGAGCAACACTATACACAGATCTTAATGAACAAGGACTGATCATTTAACCAATAGTACTGAACTCACTAGAGCAACACTATACACAGATCTGAATGAACAGGAACTAGTCATTTAATCAATAGTACTGAACTCACTAGAGCAATACTATACACAGATCTGGATGAACAAGGACTTATCATTTAACCAATAGTACTGAACTCACTAGAGGAACACTATACACAGATCTGGATGAACAAAGACTGATCAGTTAACCAATAGTATTCAACCCACTAGGGGAAACACTGTAGAAATATCTGTGGGTGCAAGGACTAATATATTTATTGATAATACTGAAGCCACTATACCAACTATATTCAGGTCTAAGTTAATGAGAACTGATCTCGTAATCGATGATACTGAGCCAACTAGAGCAGCAATGACCACAGATCTGGGTGTATTTGTATACCTATGATGCTATTTAGGCAAAATTTAAAATGGTTCTCTTATATACGGCAGCATGTTTTTTATTAGCAAAACCAACAGCATTGCGAGTCAAAATGATTATTATTAGAAGAATCAAGTCAGAACTGATCCGGTTTCCTAATGTAGCAATAATAACTTTTCAAGAATATTTAAAAACAATTCTCGTCCAAGATTTATTGCTCACATCTTTAATAAAAGCAAATTTAATTTCATACTTCTATATTTTATGAATATATCATTTTCTTCACGAGGAATGTCGAAATATCGTTGCATATCTAACATTATCTTACGTCTGTTTGTTTGTCATTAATCCCAAAGCTACACAATGAGCTATCTGTGCTGTGCCCACCACGAGTTTTGAAACCCGGCTGATAGCGTTATAAGCCCACAGACTTACCGCTGAGCCAATGAGTGCGGGTATTATTTTATGATTAAATTATCTTGTAAAAGTTCATATCAGTGATATAGAATACAAGTTTACACGTCGTTTTAAATTTTTGTTATAGAGCTCCCACTAGTTAAAAGCAAATATAATGTAAATGAAGAGTTCACAAATATATTTTTAATACCGAAATGTATCATCCTTTATTAAAACATTCTTTCTTAAAAGATAAAAAATATTCTCTGTTATCTTTGTAGAGTTCTCTAACTTTGTTTTATTTGCTTTTCAAATATTACATCAGAGTAACATTCTTTCTTAAAATATAAAAAATATTCTCTGTTATCTTTGTAGAAATCTTTAACTTTGTTTTATTTGCTTTTCAAATATTACATCAGAGTTACCTTGAAAACGTCCACCTTGAATTTATATAACCCTAATCGTCAGATACACGAGTTATGTTTTGCAACAACATTACTGAATTATTCGCCTCCTTAATTTCGATTCACTGGAACTGAAAGACTTTGTTATTTCCAAAAGTTTCACTAGATGGCACAATGTATCCTAAATAACGCGCCCTCTAGCGGTGTTGCCTGAGGCCTTTATTAAACTTAAAAGCAGTGGCTTTGGAATATGAATTATCTTGTCTTGTAGCAGATGATCGTGTTGAAAAGGAAGCAACGGAGAGGATGGTTTCAAGGATTATAAAAATTATCCTAGTTGCAATCGGGGCTGTAGCTTGTATATCTGGAGGTGTTTTGTATGCCATGTTTCCAAAGATAATCAAGGCTAAGATTGAAGAGGTAAGTTTTAAGTAATCTACGTTTGAGCAGATTCTGTCTGTAACTCTTCACCAATGGTTTAGTAACAAACTTTTCTTTAAAATACTTGAAAGCTTCTTTTAGAAGAATCGACTATAAATTAAAAGCTATTGATATTTTTTTTTTGTACTTTTGTAGTTCACGTTGTGTTTATGCGTTTTATGCCAGTAGTGTTAAAAGTCAACTTCATTATAGTTCAAAGTAGGATGATATATCTCGATAAAGCAGAAAATATTTTTTTATCTTGTCACATGATTCATTATTTTCGGTATGTTCTATCGTATAATGATCTAAAAACACTGACTAATTGCAGTCAGTTGGTAAAAATAAAGAGTTCAGCGTCTTTCATTTCACCAAACGTGTTACTTTCAGCTTTAAGTGTATTAGTTTCTACTCTTTTACCAATATTCACAACGGTATGTCTGCGGACTTACAACACTAGAAACCCGGTTCCGATCCGGTGGTGAGCTGAGCTCAGATAACCCATTGTGTAACTTTGTGCTTAACTTCAAACAAATTTACCAATACTTGTATGTGCAAGTTTGTTATCATTCTACCAGTCTTGTTACCTTCAGTTTTATCTTCTTCAGTACCTACTATTTCACCAACTTTGTATTTTGAGTTTTTACTTTATGTGTTATTAATAAATGATAGTTCTATTATTTGTGTTTTGTTCAGTTTTGTCTTCCTTTTCAATGTCTACCACTCTATAAGTCTAATTAACATCAGTTTTTAATTTCTATGTTATCTACTATTCTATCAGGCTTGATATTTTGTTTTATGTACCTTAATACCCACCATTCTACTAGTCTTGTGATCTTCAGTTTTATCATCCATAATACCTAATATTCTATCAATCTTGTTATCTTCAGTTTTATCATCCATGATATCTACAATTCTACCAGTCTTGTGATCTTCAGTTTTATCATCCATAATATCTACTATTCTACTAGCCTTGTGATCTTCAGTTTTATCATCCATAATACCCACCATTCTACCAGTCTTGTGATCTTCAGTTTTATCATCCATAATATCTACTATTCTACCAGTCTTGTGATCTTCAGTTTTATCATCCATAATATCTACTATTCTACCAGTCTTGTGATCTTCAGTTTTATCATCCATAATATCTACTATTCCACTAGTCTTGTGATCTTCAGTTTTATCATCCATAATACCTAATATTCTATCAATATTGTTATCTTCAGTTTTATCATCCATAATATCTACTATTCTACTAGTCTTGTGATCTTCAGTTTTACCATCCATAATATCTACTATTTTTCCAGCTTTATTGTCTCCAGTTTTATCTTCTGTATTATCTGCTATTATACTATTATAGTAGGCTTATTGTCTTAAGTATTTTTTTTTCTCTAATATGTCCTATTTTACCGGGCTTGTTATATTCAGTCCTTACCTGGTTTAGTTTATAAATATCAATATTTTGCTGATGATGTAGTTAAGTTTTTCTACTTGCTATCGAAGTTACAGAATTATTATATTAATTTAATTATGATTTTAGGGGAAAAACAGTTCAAATTACTGTTTTTCATCAGAAAGATCTCGATTTTTAAAAATGTTTGTTTTATCATTCTAACCTAAATACCCTTGAAGAATGTATTCCAGGATAAGATATTCTTAAAATACATAGTTAAATTTCACTACACTTTTAAGATCCTGTATGAAATATATATCAACATTTTACTTTTTATATTCAAGGTTAACGATAAGGAAAATTGGTGAAATAAAATTAGCAAACAACTTTGTTGAGTCGGCCGTTTTTTCCTCCTTTCGGCGAAATCCTTGACGGATTCGGCTTCGTTCGATCATTATACTGAAACAGCACTCTACGTGAGCATTTTAAAATTACTAGTACTTACGTGTTTGATTACAAAACACAGCTGAACGTACCTTGAAAACGTTTAACACAATACAAAGAACACAAAAGAAGACTATCGACACATCTTATTTACTTCATATTGAAAATCATTCACACAATCTTGATATATTTCATATTGTTAAGCCTGTTTTAATTTGGCAAAGTAACAAGCTGTATTAAACGAGTTTATACTCATATAAAATTATCAAACCTGTACTTTAATATATTGTTTTATAATACAAAATAATGTTCTCGTGTTTAAAAATGTAAGATTATTTGAATACTGTACTTTAATAGAATATTTTAACATATAACATAGAGTTCTCGTATTTTATTACGTCAATGTATTACATAGTGTTACGACAGCGGAAGTCACGTGACCTTGGAAAAATTCTTTCCGAAGAACTTCAGCGATACAAGTCCTTTCTAAAATAAAACTTGTTTATTCTTTCTCGTTACAAATTTGCAATACACTTAATTTCCACAGTCACTTTAACTTAAGCACACGCTATAATTCACAACCATTCACGCACTTTACTTACGATCACTATCACGCTTGACTCAATTGTCCATCTCTATCTCTGCCTGTCTGCAATTCAATTTCCGATTAATCGTCTCGCTTTATCTGATCCTTCTGGATTCTCTACGTGTCATAACAGAGTCTTTCTTCCTGTTTCCTTTCTCGTTCTTCTTGTTTCATTTCTTGTTCCAGTTGCCACTGGTGCTGGTTTTCCTGCCACTGCTGTAGTATCTCTTCTTGTTTATTTCCTTTCTCCTCCAACCACTGCTGTAGTCTCTTTTCTTGTTTATTTTCTCGTTCTTCTTTTTCTTTTCTTTTTCCTCCAACAACTGCTGTAATCTCTCTTCTTGTTTCTTTTCTCGTTTTTGTTGTTTATTTTCTTGTTTAGTTTCTCGTTCTTCTTGTTTCTTTTGTTGTTCTTGTATTGCTGCCCTCAAATCTGCTAACTGTAGTTTGATTTGCATTACACAGAATTTCCACAGTCACTTTAACTTAACTACTTTTATAAACACACGCTATAATACACTGCGATTCACGAACTTTACTTATGGTGCCTACCGTTCGCTTAACTCAATTATCTTTATATCTATCTATGCCCTCCTCCTTGCTTTATTTGTCGGGCTTATATACTAAAAAAAGAGGGCGCCTGCAACAGACTAGAGTTGCCAGGAAAAGTCATGATCCTTCGAGAATCTCATCACCTGTTGCCAGCGTCACGTGACTTCCGCTGTCGTAACAATATCAAAACAAAACATTTATTAAATGAAATAGTGTCCATTCTTATCGATGATGCTTTTACATCTTACAATCAGGTTGTTAATGACATGATTAAAGAAATCACTTGGCTTTGAAGCAAAAAACATGTCAATGTTCTCTTTAACACCTACATTTGCATACGTTTTCCCATTTAGATGGTGTTGCAGCGAATGAAAAGGATAATAATCTGATGGTGCCATATCGGGAAAATGTGGTGTGTGGGGAAGAGCTTCCCAACCCAACTCCATAATCCAGTTGTTGACTATAGATCTCTGCATTGAGAGTTCGCTGTGGATTGAGGAGTTCGAAATGAATTACTCATTTGATGTCCCACCAAATGCAAAGCCCCACTTTCTGCGGATGGAGTCCAGGTTTTGGAATCAGAAGTGGTTTTTGTTTAGGACTGAGTCATTGGTTTTGACGTTTAATATTCGCATAGAGAATCCATTTTTCATCACCAATGACAATTCTGTCCAAAAACGGTTCATGCGCATTATGTGCCAGAAGAGACGAAGCAATGTTCACACGTTGGAAACGATGATCATTGGAGAGTTCGTGAGGCACCCAAACACTTTCTTTATGGAGTTCTTCCACATTTCTTAGATGTTTACATATTGTTTCATGAGAGACATGCAATTTTAGGGCCATTTCACGAGTATGTTGCTTCGGGTTAGACTCAACAAGCGTCTTCAGAGAATCGTTATCAATTCAAATATGTCGCCCTCTGCCATCACACTTTTTAAGGTTAAAGTCACCTTAACTAAATTTATTAAACATCGTTGACACTTACAAACGTTCAAAACATTTCTATAAACTTCTTTGATATTCTTTGTGGCTACATAGACGTTGTTTACCTTCAAAGAGCATTACATGTCGAATGTGTGTTTTACATAGTCTATACTAACATGACGTTTAGGTGGTTCGTTTAACTGTTAAACATGATGTACGTTTTTTTTTGGGGGGGGGGGTGATTAGTGAAAGTGTTCCAAAACGTGACATTAATTTCTTGACGAACTAATATGTTACGTACATATAAAAGTTCATCTGTCAATAATTTTGTATAAAATATTACATAAAAATGTTTGAGAAATTATAAAAATATAATTCTGTTACGACAGTGGAAGTCACGTGACTCTGGTAACACGTGATGAGTTACTGGAAAGATCATGAAGTCCCAAGTGTTTGCCAGACGCCCTCTCTTTTAGTATATAAGCCCAGCAAATGGTGGCAGATATAGGGAGATATAGAGACAGATAATTGAGCGGTAGTGATCGTAAGTAAAGTGCGTGAATTGTTGTGAATTAAAGAGTGTGTTCAAGTTAAAGTGACTGTGGAAATTAAGTGTATTGCAAAGTTATATTGAGAAAGAATAAACTAGTTTTATTTAAGAAAGGATTTGTATCGCTGACGTTCCTCGGAAAGAATTTATACCGGAAATTAACAAACGACCAGATACGTAACAATATATAAGTTATTCGGGTTTTTTCATCTAAAAAAAAGCGACATTAATTTTCTTGACGACCTAATACTTTGAAATCAAAACTACTATACGATTTTTTACTAATAACATTTATATCGTTAATCTCATTAGACAATAGCAATTTTCATTTACCTAAATGTAAAATAATGATATTACACACGTCACAAACTAATTTTTATTAAGACGAAAATTTAAAAATATACCATTTATGAAGTTTTATAATAAAACACCAACAACTACTGGAACTAAATCACCGCGGATTGTTTGATGTTTATAAACGTGGGTGGTTGGTCTGAACTGTAGTCATGAAACTAGATTTACTACTTTTCTTTTGTCTTTTTACTACGGATTATTATAAATTTTACTCTCGAGTGGAATTTTACCCCCGGCTTGTCAAAGTTTGATTTTATAAAATTTCGATCTAAACGACATAGATAAATATTTGATTACTTTACACAATTACTACAAAGGAAATTATTAAACTTTTGTTGAGCTAACTCTTTCGTCAGCTATGTAGAATCTACAATAATACTTGAACATTTCAGCAACTAATCTTGGCAAATGGGACTACAACCTATGAAAACTGGAAGAATATACCTATACCGATGTATGTGAGGTTTTACATTTTCAACGTCACGAATCCATCTGACTTCATGAATAACAATGCTAAGCCTATAGTAGAAGAAGTAGGACCCTACACATTTAAGTAAGTTCATTGTTCATAACACCTGAAAAACGTTTCTGCGTTTTATTTCGTATTGTTGAATAAAAAAGTAATTTTAGCAACTTTGCATTTTGAAAGAAAGTTGTGTTTGTTTGTTTGTTGTTTAGCGCAAATCTACACGTGTTATATGTGCTGTACCACCGTTAGTATCGAAACCCGGTTTCTAGCAACGTGAAGCATCGAACGTATCACTGAGGCACTGAGGGGCGAAAGAAAGAAAGAAAGAAAGAAATTATACCAGTTACTTTAATGGAATGTGAAAATGGCTCATGTTGTTTTGTAAAAGTGACATATTTTTTGGTATTGTTACGTCTCTGGTCGTTTGTTAATTTCCCGTATAATTTCTTTCGGATGAATCTTTAGCGATACAAGTCCTTTCTTAAATAAAACTAGTTTATTCTTTCTCAATACAACTTTGTAATACACTTAATTTCCACTGTCACTTTAACTTAAACCCACGATATAATTCACAACGAACGATTCACGCACTTACTTACTACCGCGCTTGACTCAATTGTCCGTCTCTGTCTGTCTGAAATTCTATTCCGAATAATTGTCTCGCTTTATCTGGCGCACTTATATACAAGAATAGAGGGCGCCTAGAAAATACTGGATTATTCGTGATATTCCCCGATCCTTCTAGAATCTCATGACGTGTTACCAGCGTCACGTGACTTCCGCTGTCGTAACAGTATATTTACAGGTTTTAAAGACACGGGGCTATTCATTATAAGCTCTTTACGGTTAGGACTAATATGAAGGATGTAAACTATAAAAAGGCTGTGTTTCTAGCGTTGAGAACTCTTAGCAATCAGTCATAGTGTTATTAACTTTATGGTTGGATTAGCATGAACGATTTAAATTATAAACAGTCTATGTATCTAGAGTTGAGAGCTTTTAGCAATCAATCATGGAGTGTAACTAACGAATCAACTGTTTGTCTTTTTTTCTTCTTTCAAATCACGAATTTTAATTAGAATTATAAAAGAGAAGCTTTTCAAATAATTCACCAATACAACTAAATAGACTAAGAGTAAGGTAACTTGAGGAGATTATAATAAAGGATTTGGAGACATTATAAAGAGAAGGTGGGTGTAGAAGAAGAAAAAGAGTCATACGTAGTTGAGACTGTCTTCACTAGTAAACAGGAGGAAAAGAAAATGTTATTAAAGGAAAGAGAAACAATTACAAGTTTTTCAAAATGAACTCACCTCGTTATAAGTCATTGTTTTTGTACTGAAACGAGTGAGAACTGGAGTATGTTAAAAATTAGTTTGTGTTGCTAATTTTTTCAGAAATAACTAGGATAGACTATACTGTTGATGGAAGAACCAAATAGCTACTAATATGTGATTTTTTAGTTAGTAATTAAATGGTATATAGTAATAACTTAACGTCCTTAAAATAGATATAGGAACATTTTACTAAAGTCCACTTGAACATATAGAAATGGTTCTCAACAGGATGTAAAGCTAGAATTGTTCCATAACAGATATAAAAACACCAGAAGGAGGGAACGTTGTTAAGAATAAGATATTGTTACGACAGCGGAAGTCACGTGACCCTGGTGACACGTGATGAGTTTCTAGAAGGATCAGGGAACATCACGAATAATCCAGTTTTTGCTAGGCGCCCTCTATTTTAGTATATAAGCCGGCAAATAAAGTGAAGGCAATAAAATAATTGCAGACAGGCAGAGACTGAGATGGACAATTCAGTCAAACGTGGTAGTGACGTGAATCGTTGTGAATTATAGCGTGTGTTTAAGTTAAAGTGACTGTGGAAATTAAGTGTATTGCAAAGTTGAATTGAGAAAGAATAAACGAGTTTTATTTAAAAAAAGGACTTGTGTCTCTGAAGTTTTTCGGAAAGAATTTCTACGGAAAATTAACAAACGAACACAGAGGCGTAACAATATAAAGTAGTGGTTGCCGTCTTTAGTATTACAACGTTCTTTAAAGCCACACGTCAAATAGAAAAATTATATCAAGTATATCGTCAGAGCTTTTGTAATAGGTGTGTGTCAAAGTTCATGTTGACATTTAAAAATTATATCCTCAGACTTGTTGTAATAGGTGTGTTTTAGAGTTCATATCGATGGATAAAGTAAAGCGTAGAGTAGCAGCAAACAGTCAATAAATACAAGAAAGAAAGAAAATACTTCGCGCCAGGTTTTTTGCCTTCACGGAGAACCAGAAACCGAGTTAGCATTTCAAATTTTCTCTATAGATTGCCAGTAAACAAAGCATCTAGATGTATTTCCATCTCATTGGCCAGTCGTAGGTGCAAATATTGTATAACATGATAGATACTAACCTTTACTAAGTCTAACTTAGCGTAAAGAGTAAACTAGATTTTCCTGTTTCTGAACCAGAACTAAACAAAAATTTTAATTAAAACAGAAGCTACAGCATGTTGTGATTACTAGAAATAATTTCAGCAACAAAGTTCGGAGAATTAACATTTAATTCATATCACTTAGAACTTAAATAAGCAAAATGAATTAGGTTGGGAATTTTTAATTAAGGTTTTGAGGAAATATATAAAAACAAGGAGAAACATAGGAATTGGACAGGGATTTAGTAGATAAGGTAGAAAATATTAGAGGCTAAATCATTCTCATTAAATTCAGGCCCTTAATCAGAGCAAAAGACCTGGTGATGAAGTTACTATTGTAAAATGTAGGTCCTCAACCTGAGCGAAGAACATGGTGATGAAGTTACTATTATAAAATGTAGGTCCTTAGCCAGAGCGAAGAACATGGTGATGAAGCTACGATTGTAAAATGTAGGTCCTCAACCTGAAGGAATGACCTGATGATGAAGTTACTACTGTAAAATGTAAGTCCTTAAACAGAGCGAAGAACATGGTGATGAAGCTACTATTGTAAAATGTAGGCCATTAAAGAGAGCGAAGGACCTGATGATGAAATTCCTATTGAAAAATGTAGGTCCTCAACCTGAAGGAAGAACCTGGTGATGAAGTTCCTATTGTAAAATGTAGGTTCTCAACCTGAACGAAGAACATGGTGATGAATTTACTATTGTAAAATGTAGGTCCTTAAACAGAGCGAAGAACATAGTGATGAAGCTACTATTGTAAAATGTAGGTCCTTAGCCAGAGCAAAGAACATGACGATGAAGCAACTATTGTTAAATGTAGGCCCTTAAGCAGAGCGAAGGACCTGATGATGAAGATCATATTGTAAAATGTAGGTCCTCAACCTGAACGAAGAACATGGTGATGAAGCTACTATTGTAAAATGTAGGTCATTAACCAGAGTGAACAAGATGGTGATGAAGCTACTATTGTAAAATGTAGGTCCTCATCCTGGGCAAAGAAAATGGCGAAGAAGCTTTTAATGTAAAAGAAACTAATCTTTAGGTGTTTCTGAATATTATAAAAGAAAGATCTGATGTGTTATTGACTAATTAAGAAGAAAAGAAAGTTCAACATATATTTTTGTGTAGAGGTAGGTGTTCCTATACTTATATATGCGTTCCTTTTTTAAGTGAGCCTTTGCAAGCTTTTTTTTAATGTTTACATTTCTACATGAACAAATAATTAACTTCGTTGAAAATTTAATTTGGATTACTTTTACTCCTAATTAGAATAAATAGAAAAAAGGAAGTTATTGGTAGAAATGAAGAACGAGACACAGTGCAATATAACGAAGTAAACACTTATATTTTTCAACCAGAAATTTCTGCTGGAACTCAGGACGAAATGGTTTATGTTGTAAATGCTCCATTACAAGTAAGTAGAATGTTATATACTTGTTTAATAATAAAACAGTTAAATTACATGCGACTTCATACTAATAATTTACTATGCAATAAAGATGTTACACCAAACACCTGTAGAAGCAGGATGTCAAGGTTTGATAATCTGGAGGTCATACTAATAAGTTGTCATGTAGTAACGATGTTACAAGAGATAGAATGACATAATTTAATAGTCTGGATTTAATACTAATGAGTTACCAGGCTACAAAAATGCTCGTTTTCGGAAATCATGTACTCTAGGCTTGCTATCTCTAATTTTGAACGAATACAGAAACCGGAATTCGTCTAGTCAATAACAACCTCCATCAACTCTTGAATTACTCTGATCGGAAAGTGGGATTTGATCATCATTGTTTTAACTCATCCATGGCCACAAAGCATTTTTGAGACTAGGAAACGTTAACATTAGCCTCTCAGATTCTCTGTATGGCACGTCATCGATGGGGCAACATTGGTGTTTTATTGATCCTTAAGAGCAGTATTACGATATTATAAAATTTTTCTACTTTTTCTGCTTTCAAATATAGAAATAAGCATATTAAGGGAATTACCATTGTTTTACAACCTCTAAAAATTAAAGTAACAACTACTTTAATTCTGTGATATTATGAGGTTATTTTTTTATTTAATTTAACAAAAACGTGATTTAATTTCTCCCCATTTTAGGGAATAGCCAAAATAGCAACTAAGAACATCCCACCACTTATACGTCCATTTTTCATGCCACTTCTCAGTTCACTGCTCATACACTACAAAGAATATGTGATTGTGAAAAGAAAAATTCGTCAGCTACTTTTTGACGGATACGAAGTTCGTCTCCTGAAAGATCTCAACAAATCAGCGTCACGGTTTGTCAAAATTCCTCCGTTGCTACCAAACAACACTTTTGGTCTTTTCTATGGAGTAAGTTAAAGCTTATCGTAGGGATCGTTTATAGGAACAAACTATGAAATAAATACGTTACATATTGCATCTATAAAAGGTAATAAGAGCGTACTAGAAAATATATTTAAAATTATACCAGTGAACGCTGACAAGATAATGTACTAAAGTGCGTTACATGTTATTGTCTATTTATGTTAGTTCTGGGAAGTGTGCTATAGATTATGTATATTACATCTTTTCCTAGGGAAACATGTTTTACAGCATTTATGTTACAGCTTATCCTGTTGAAGCATGTTGTAGAGTATGTATGTATGTTAAATCTTTTCTTAGGGAAGCATGTTTTACAGTATGTATGTTAAATCTTTTCTTAGGGAAGCATGTTTTACAGTATGTATGTTAAATTTTTTCTTAGGGAAGCATGTTTTACAGTATGTATGTTACATATTTTCCTAGTGAAGCATGTTTTACAGTATTTAAGTTACAGTTTATCCTGTTGAAGCATGGTACAGAGTATGTATGTTACATCTTTTCCTATTGAAGCATGTTTTACAGTATGTATGTCGAATTTTAGTCTGGGAAAGCATGGTATAGAATACGTAGGTTGCGTCTTATCCTGTTGAAACGTACGTAGTTCACTGCTTATCCTATTGAACTATAAATAGAATATTAGATTAAGAACATATTTAAAACCTCATCAATTCTGGTAAGCTTTAGGAAGAGTAAGCTGTTCTAATCGTATGGGTATGCAGACAGCTTGAGATTGAAAACTTATTACTCTTTCAGAAAAATGCCACAAGTGGAGGAACTTTTACCGTGTTTACTGGGAAAAGTAATTCAAGTCGATTTACACTCATTGACACATGGAATAATAAAAGGTGAGTACATTTTTATTTCTAGTCAAACCCGGGGGAAATCAAAGTGATGCTGATCATTTAGATTCAGAGCTGATGAAAATTTTTAGTATGAGAGACTGATATTTGTAAAATATTAGACAGTGTTTCATAACTTCTTTCTGTAATCACCTTCTTAATAAGATCTTTGCCATTGTTACTTCGGCGTGAGAATGCATCTTTTGAAATTACCTGGTTTCTGTGAATTTCAAATATCTTAAGTTTCAGTTGTGATGAAGAAACACAATATATAATATTACATAATGTTTCCTTTTCGTATTTCACACGAAGACTGAGTTCTACTAAATAGTAAATATTCTGATTAGTTAAGACTTCTGATTTTTTAAAACTGCAATCTAGTTAATACTTCAGATATGAAATAATAACCGGTTAATTCAATATAAGTCTCTGAAAATAAATGAGAATAGCATTACGAATTTAAGTAACGTAACATATAAAAATTTCAGATACAAAAAAAATCCTTAGAAATCGATAAAATATTTACTAAGCATCATAACTTCTTACGTTTATAAACCAAATGTCACTGAGTTCACGACTCAGCAGACTAAGTATTGTTAGCTCAATAACACTCAATTGACGATTCATCTGTGTTGACGTTTATTAGCTGAGTAACACTGAGTTGACGATTCATCTGTGTTGACGTTTATTAGCTGAGTAACACCTAGTTGACGTTTCACCTATGTTGACGTTTGTTAGCTCAATAATACTCAACTGACGATTTATCTGTCCAAACATTTATCAGGTCAATAGCATTTACTTTTGATCTATCTCTGTTAATGTTTATCAGCTCAATAACATATGGTTAACAATGCATTTTGTTGCTAACGTTTATCAGGTCAGTAACATTAACTAATGATCCTTTTGTACTAACCTTTATCATTTCAGTAACACTGACTTGTTGAGCCATCTGTGCTAACGTTTTTCAACTTTGTAACACGTAATTACAAATCCGTTTGTCCTAACTTTTGTCAGCTTGACAACACGTAATTAAAGATCTATTTGTACTAGTGTTTTTCAGCTCATTAATATATATTTGCTGATCTATCTATCTTAACGTTTGTCAGCTCAGTAACATTCAGTTGATGATTCATCTGCCCAAAAGTTCTAAGCACAGAAAAGACGATTCACTTGTCCTAACGTTTGTCAATAATTACTTCTTGGTCCATTTGTGATAGCTCTATCTGCCCAACATTTGTGAAATTAGAGACATTAGTTGATGACTTTATTAACGTATTAACATTTAATTAACGATCCATCTGCCCAACGTTTTTCAGCTCGGTATCAACTCACAATCCACCTGTTCAACGTTAGTTTAGTCAGGTCAGTATGTAATGATAATCCATCTTCAATACGGTTTTCAGGTCAGTATCAGTTGAAAATCCATCTACCCTACGTTTGTCAGATTAATAAGATTTTTATTTGCCCAAGATTATAAGTTCAAAAACAATGATATATTTTAATTTACTAATGCAAAGACAATTGCAAATAATGATAAAACTTTCTACGAACTTGCATTCTTCATAATGAATAAGAAGTCTCATAACCAAAGTTCATCAACATGACACAGAAACAGTACTCTGGTTACTTCATCATCAGGATGATAATTTATAAATCAGTCTAAATTTAATGTTGAGAAACGCGCTAGATTTGAGGGGATTACAGAACCCTACAAATTAAATTATTCTTGAGATTTGAATAAGTCTATGTTTCATATTTAAATTAATATTAACTTTATCTAGATTTCTACCATATTGGAGCTCCAAGTACTGCAACATGATCAATGGAACAGGCAAGTATCCGTAAAGAGTTTTTGTAATATATATATTATACTTATTGTATTATACTCAGTGGCACAGCGCTATGTCTACGGACTCACACCACTAGAAACCGGGTTTCGATACCCGCGGTGGGCAGAGCACAGATAGCTCTGTGTAGCTTTGTGTTTAATTCCAAACAATCAATGAATAAATCAACTTAATTTCAGCGTAGCAGAACATTAAAAATATTATCAATTACTTCATACGATGTCTCAGTGTTTTGTCTAGTTATGCTTAGATGAGCGCTGTGCTACATTTTCTTTATCCATGTAATATTCACATAACATAACATAAGGTTTTGGGACAACATAGGACCTATTGGTCCATCTCGGCTGTTCTATCCTCTAAACTAAATTAAAATTACTAAAAATTAATAAATAAATGTAATCTTAAACCCAGCCCTTTTCATTCATATACTTATCAAACGTTTTATTAAGCTCACTTACATTTACTGCCTCTACGACATCTGAAGGCTACCCCTTTCAAAGTCCAACCACCCTGTTAGAAAGATGAAACTATCTTAGCTAAATATGACTCCTACCTTGCCAAAATTCATATTTGTGGCCTATAGTCTTACTATTCTTATTGTTAAATATAAAAAACGATGATGCATCAACACTGTCAATTCCCCTTACAATCTTAAACACCTCAATCATATCCCCCCTAACTCTCTTTTTTCAAGAGAAAACAATTTTAGAGATTTCAGCCTCTCGTCGTATGACAACCCCTCCATCCCAGGTGCCATTCTAGTAATCCTTCTCTGAACCATTTCCAACAATTCAATGTCTTTCCAAATGTGGCCTAACCAGTGACCTGTACAATGAAAGTATAACCTCTTCAGACTTGTATTCATTATTTCTATAGATACAACCTAAAATTCTATTTTCCTTACCACTAGCAACAGCACTCTGCTTGGATGGCTTTAGAGACTGATCGACTATTACACCAAGCTCCCTTACCTTCATAACACTTTTAAGGTTATTCCCATCCAAATTATACTTATTATTCAAATTATGATAACCCACATGCATTATCTTGCATTTATTATAATTAAAACCCATCTGCCGTTTATTTGCCCAACTCACTAAATGATCTAAAACCTTTTGTAAATCAACAGCCTCCTCTTCACAGGTAGTAACACCCAAGACCTTAATATCATCTGCAAATTTAAGTAATTTATTGACTATCCCTACATCTATGTCATTGATGTAAATCTAAAAGAGTAAACGTCCTAAGACTGAGCCCTGAGGTACTCCACTTGTGACATTAATTCAGTTTGACTGAACTCCATTTCTAACAACCCTCTGCTTTCTTCCATCCAGCCACTCTTCTATCCAATTTGCTAACTTACTCCCCACACCTATAGAACCAATTCTTTTTACAAACCTTTTATGTGGCACCTTGTCAAATGCTTTCTGAAAATATAGATACACCAAATCTACACCCTTACCCTCATCTACATAAGCAGTAACCTTTTCAAATGATGTCAAGAGATTAGTAAGGCAAGATTTTCCCTTAGTGAAACCACGTTGACTATTTAACTTTGTTAAATGACTTTCAACCCTTTCAATCATTTCTGTATTTAAAGTTAATGTTAATAAGTTGTTAGACTAGCATAAAAATATATTTTTGGGTGCTCTACACAAATAGATGCAAAGCATAAGATGTTACAAACATTGTCTGATCTAAAGTTCGTAAAAAATATGTATATTAATAACTGATAGATTTGAGATATGGATATATATAAATAAATATAGTTTTATCTTTTTCAATAACTACAGATGGCGGTCAGTTTCCACCTCACACTACAAAGGAAGAAATTCTCTACGTGTTTAGTACTGACCTATGTAGGTAAGGTATCTCCATTTCTTACAGTTACAGTCTATAATATATACAACATTCTAGACTAAAATTCAGTATTTACTAAAATCTACGACATTTAACTGCTTAGACTGAAGCTAGAAAGAGAACTATTAAGGCTAAGAGTAGTGGATTTAATTGTAATGAACCTATTCTAATATGCTACAGATTTCAACCCTTGGCTTCTGCACATGAGGAACTATGGGAGGGAAGGAAAACAAAAGGGACGGAGAAGGATATGGATGATAAACTTAAGGAGGTTATAGTTAACATGCCTTTAAGGCATGTGTATAGGATAGTTTGTGGGGTAAATAGGGAGATAAAAAGTAGATTATGTTACCCAGGGACACATGTGGAGGGTATAACAGGCAGAGCAGGAGATATAATAAACTATAAAGGGGACTAGCACTCAATATGAGCAGATAGGCTTGTTGGACTTGTGGGATCAGTTCAATGGGAGAAGGGAGCTTTTTGGAATGGATGGTTTACATTTAAATTGGGTCTAGTCTGATTTGTTTGCAAGGGCTGTTAACTCACCTGTAAGAGGAATTGTAAAGGACTAGACAGTGGTGAGGGCCAGGATAAACTAAATGCACAAAGAATGAGAGGTAGAGAAAAAGTGTAACATACGAAATGAGTATAGAAGTAGTTATAAGGGTAGGCTTAATTGTTACTACTGTAATGCTACAAGTATTAGACATATAATAGATGGCTTTAGTGCACTCCTAAGAATGGAGGATTTTGATATAATGGGAATAACTGAAACATGGTTAAACGTAGATGACTTTGATGACAGAAATTTCTATAAAATACAGGGTTACAGGTTATTTAATAGGAATAGAGTACCAAAGTAAAGAGAGGCGGAAGTGGCTTTATATGTAAATTGTAAATGACATCCTTTTGAAGTTGTGGATATCAAAGATAATAGCAAGGAGCTTGAATCCATTTGGGTTTCTTTAGTGGATATAAAAGGAAAACGTTTAGTGGGAATTTCTTACAGACCACCTGGTGATACTTATGAAATTAATGAGAAACTTTACAATGAGATTAAGATTTCAGCAATTAGTGAATTCATAATTATTGCGATTTTAATTTAAGGCATATGGATTGGAAAATGGGTGCTACTATAGCATGCAGTCTACAAAGATATGAAAACTATGGCATGCCATCTACACAGATACTATAATCATCACCGTTTTAATTTTCGTTTATTTACAATTGGTACCATTCATTATAAATAACGCCTTTAAACTAATAAAGTACAAAATACTATTACATAACGTTTTGGGGGCAAATATAATCGGAATGCAATAAGTTCCAACAATCAAGACTAGCACAATTATAACCTAATATTAAGGTACTCTTTTGGAACACGCAATTTATTAAATTATTATTATTTGCTAAACAAAAATGAGGATAGATATTAATTATTTAACAAAAAAATATGTTTTAGTAAATCATTAAAATAGTGATGATTATAATATCTGTGTAGACTGCAGGCTGTAGTGTAAATATCTTTGTAGACCACATGCTATAATACTACCGGTACATGCTAGAGTCAAACCATGAGGAAGAAAGGTTTTTGGAAACTGTTGATAATGGTTTTCTTCACCAATTGGTCAAGGAACCTACTAGAAACAATGATATTTTAGATTTTTGTGAACTTCAAATATAGAAATGACTGAGAGAGTGAAAATTGGGGAACATCTGGGTGCAAGTGATAATTTCTCTATTGGGTTCAATGTTTTGCTGCATATGGAGATAAAGAACAATGATAATGTGGTTACAAATTTCAAAAAGTAAGTTTTGAAGGGATGCAACAGAAATTATTTGTTATCAATGTGGCAGCTGAGTTATCTGGTAACTGATCAGATGTGAGAAATTTTGAAGATAAATTTTCAAATATTCAAGATAAACCTGTTTTTTTTAAAAAAAAGAAAAGGGTGGCTACAAGAAAAAACCAAGATTGACTGGTATGACGGGAGATTTATAGATTATATAAGATCTAGAACATTAGTACAACAAAAAAGTTATATAAGAAATGGTTGGCTGAAAATGTAAAAATTAACAGTAAGTATTTCATTAAATAAATTAAGGGTAAACAAAATGTCAGGATAGGGATATGACCCTTGAGAGATAATAAAAGGAGGCTCATATCTGATGATTATGAGATGCCTAGGTTAGTAAATTCCACTTTCTTTTAATTTTTACTAATGAAAATTTAAGCAGGGTTCCACATCATGAACAGTTGGTAGATGGAAACAAAATTATCACATTAATTCCAAGCTGGTAAAGAAAAAATACAGAAGTTTAAAGAATGTTAAAGCTCCTGGTGAGTTTTGGGTAACTTACGATTCTGTTTCGAGTTAGTGTGTGTTTTGCACTCATAGAGAGAGAAGTTATCGAGATCGTGAATCGCTGTGGTTGATAGCGTGTATTATAAAAGTTTTTAACTTTAAACTCACGAGAAATGTACTGACTGTGGAATTACTGTGTATTAAAAATTTTTATCGAGAAAGAATAAACTGGTTTAATCAATAAAGGACTTGAAGTTCCTCGGAAAGAATTTCTACCAGAAATTAACAAACAAACAGATATGTAACAAATTGGTATCAGAGAGTGGGACAGAAACGATAAAAAATGGAAATGAGAAGTGGCAAATCAAACTACAGCTTAGCAGATTTGATAGCAGCAATACAAGAACAGCAAATAAAACAAGAAGAACGAAAAAAGAAACAAAAAAGAGAGATTACAGCAGTTGTTGGAGGAAAAAGAAAAGAAACAAGAAGAGAGATTACAGCAGTGGTTTAGTGAGAAAGAAAATAAACAAAAAAAGAGACTACAGAAGTGGCAATAAAACAAGCACCAGTGGCAACTGGAACAAGAAAGAACACAAGAAGAACGAGATAAGAAACAGGAAGAATGTCTCCAACAGAAAGCCAGCATACACAAATGGAAAAGACTAGTAAATTTTAAAGTGAATTAGACACATTAAAGGACGATTTACTGTCTTTTATACACGGAGGATATATAAGTCATAGACCTAATCAACCCCAGATAACTGAAGCCCCTTCTAGACCCCGCAGCTAAATCCTAATGCAGACATCTTCAGTCCTGTCAGAAGTCACAATCCAGACGTGAGTGTCAGCAATAGGGGTGGTCTAGTATGAAGGAAGCCACAGGAATTCGATGGGAAGGCACCATGGAAAGCATATAGAGCACAATTTAAGCTCCTGGCACAATTGAATAGATGGACAGAGAAGCAGAAAGCAGTGTACCTGGCAACGAGCCTGGAGGGACAACCACTGGAAATACTTGGACAGATGACAGGCACAACTGTATAGCATTGGTAGCTGCTTTAGAAATCAGGTATGGAACTCAAACTCCGTCCAAAGTCTACAGGGCTAGGTTTAGGACTAGAGTCTGTGCTAAAGGGGATAGCCTGTAAGAGCTGGCACAGGATTTGGAAAGTGTGGCACACAAGGACTACCCAACTGCACCACCTGATGTCCTCAAGCTGTTGCTGAGGGGTCAGTTTGTAAATGCCTTGGACAGTCCATAACTGAAGATACAAGTGAAGCAAGCACACCCCTCTACTATGCAGGATGCAATGGCCAGAACTCTTGAATTCGAATCCTACGTTAAGTCCAGCACAAATGTACCAAGTTTGGCACAGTCATCAGGATTCAAAGCCAGAAAAGGGAAGCTTTCAGAAAAGTTTGAGGGACTTTGCTTGCACTGTAACAAACCTGGGCACAAGGGAGCTCAATGCCGGCAACTTCAACACAGGAAAGATGCCACGGCAGGACAGGCTGTTACCCATAAATGTTGTTGGAACTCTGAAGAGCAAGGACATATGAATAGCCAGTGAAAGAAGATTACTACCAATAAGTCAGCTTCGAGAAACCAGTAAAGGTTGGTGTTGAGGGACGCCCACATACCCCCATTGTGAAAGTCCTAACAGCTAAGTGTAAAATAGCAAGCACACATAGTGTCTACGCGACAGTAAAGCTGGATGGTCAAAAGTGCAACTTTGTCATAGATTCTGCATCTCAGCAATCCCTTGTGATTTTCAAGGTGCTAGATCACAAAGGAGTACCAGAAGCTCTGTGGTGTGACAGGACATTATGCAAGGTTGTGGGGACCAGTCTGGGTAACTATTGAGCTCATAGGCATGAAGGACAGACACAAAGTATACTTGGCTGACATTGAAGACCAATGCATATAACGGTTGGACTACTTACTACCGAAGAAATATGTGGTTATCTTTGATAAAATGACATTTGGGAAAAACAAAGCCAAATTCTGGTAAGAGTTGCTGCATCTGTTGATTTCTGTGTCACAGCACTTAAGAGTCAACTACAATTCCCCCTATGTCAGAGAAGATAATTTCGGGTAGAATAAAAGAACATCTCCAAGGAAGACTGATGGCTGTGGAAACAATTGAAACCCCATCCAGGCCAACATACGTGAGGATTGGAAGGTCACTTGTGGCAGGTCATCAAATAGTACTCATAACAGTGGCTAATTTCTGTAAATGTGAGCAGAAGCTTAAGGAAGGGGCATTGTTGGGTGTGTGCCAGGAGGTATAACTAATCATCGTTAATGCAAGAAATACAACGATAAAGAAAGGAAATCCTCTCCCAGAACATTTAATTGATCTCTCTTAGAATAGTGTAGTCCATTTGTCATCATCATAGGCTCTTCAGGTTAGAGAACTCTTGGTGAATTATGAAGAAATCTTTTCAAAAGGAGATCATGACTTTGGCTGCACAGACCTTGTGGAGCACAGAATAAACACAGGCAATCATCGTCCAATAAAGATACCTCTGAGGAGAATAGCTCTGGCAAAGCGACAAAAGAAGAAGAAGGTCATGGATGGCCTAATTAAAGGGGGATAGTCAAAAAATCAGATAGTCCCTGGTCAGCTCCCGTTGTGTTAGTCCAGAAGAAAGATAAAACCCAACGTTTTTGTGTGGACTTCAGGGCTC